TGACACTGTGGTCTCCTACTGCCGGCTTATGGGTCCAGAAAGCAGATGTCTTGCTCTCTGACTTCTAACCCTTTGATCGCCTTAAAACTTCCTTCAATCGCAAATTAAGACAGCTCTCCAGTCTTTGTCCTTCTGACTTGTATCTTATAAAACGTTTCCGTTTCATCGGCCTTTCTCTTCCTTATTTCTATGGTCTTGCTAAGACTCATAAACCTGGTGTTCCTCTTCGTCCGATCATTTCTTCACGGGGCTCTGTCAACTATCCTCTTGCCTCTTGGCTCGCTAAAACTCTGACGCCTTACCTTGGCACTTTTTCTCCTGCCCACCTTCGTCACTCTCAAGACTTCATAGAAAGACTGCGCCTGCAGCCCTCCTTTAAGATGCTTAGTCTTGATGTCGACTCTCTGTTAACTAATGTTCCCCCTTGATGACGTTCTCTCTTTTCTTAGACAGAAGGCGTCTGAGGGCCTTTTCCCTCTCCCGCTTCCTACTGACGTTTTCCTCGAACTCGTCAAATTCTGTGTTGACTCTTAACTCTTTCTCTTTCAACGGTAAATATTACACTCAAACTTTCGGTGTCGCTATGGGTGCCGCTCTCTCCCCTGTTCTTGCTAATCTCTACATGAAATACATGGAAACTGTTCTTCTTCCTTCTATTGATACTCGTCCCTCTCTCTGGCTTCGCTATGTTGATGACATTTATGCTCTCATGATTTAAGTCTTTTCCAACCTTTCCTCGCCTCTCTTAACAATCTGGCTCCTTCTATCCATTTCAAAGCTGAATGGGAATCTAATTCCCTCCTCCTTCCTTTTCTTGACGTTCACAGCTCTGTGTCCGGGTTCTCTTTCTATGTCTACCGCAAACCCATGCATAGTGGTATGTACATTCACTTCTTTTCCTACCATCCTCCTGCTGTTAAGAAGAGTGTCCTCGTCTTTCTCTTCCTCCGCGCTCTACGCATCAGCGACCCTCAGTTTCTGGATTCTGAAATTTCCTTTATCTACAAATCATTCTCTCGCCTTGGTTACCCTTTACAGTTTATCAACTGTGCCTACTCTCAAGCTAAACGAAATTTCTTTCATCCTAAACCTGCTTCCAACCCTAGTAGCACTGTGCTCTGCCTTCCCTTCATATCTGAACTCAAAACTTATACTAATACCTTTCGTCCTCTTGACAGAAATCTCGCCTTTCGACAAACTAACACTTCGTAGCAATCTAGTTCACACTGCTCCTCCTGCTTCTAATGCTGCTGATGTCTACTCTATTTCCTGTTCGTCTTGTCCTCTCCAATACTATGGGGAAACTGGCCGTACACTAAATGACAGACTTAAGGAACACAAAAGAAGTGTTAAGTCTGCTGACACAAACAATAGTCCCTTAAACAAATCCACAAGGGCCGTGACGAGGACTCGAACTTGCATCCGAGAGCATCCCAGACGCTGCCTTAATCGACTGAGCTACGACATGGTAAAAAGAGTTGAAACCGAAGTTATACTGAACTTATTGGATCCTGCAGCCTCTCCGAGACACAGACACACAATGTGTGTAATGAAGTAAGGGCGAAGAGGGAGAACTGCCTATTAACATAGCTCGAGTGCATGGGGGGGAGTTGTGTAAAACCCCGGTTTGTGTCTCGGAGAGGCTGCAGGATCCAGTAAGTTCAGTAGAACTTCAATTTCAACTCTTTTACCATGTCGTAGCTCAGTCGATTAAGGCAGCGTGTGGGATGCCCTCGGACGCAGGTTCGAATCCTCGTCACGGCCCTTGTGGATTTGTTAATATGATTCATCACGCTATTGTGATTTCTGTGTGCAATGGTCTCTTCTGTCATGTTAGGGATTCTAATCATCCTTTTGATTGGTCTTCCTCTAAAATAATCTTTCCTGCGTCTACACAGACGCCGTCTGGTCGACTCTGCTGTGACACACAACCTTCCCAACATGAACCTCAGTCCCGACTGTGTTGCTGTTCACTCTTCCCATTCACAGTACATACTAAAATGTTCTAAACATTTTAACAAACGTGACTTAACATAAGCCTACCTTTCCATTTTTTTCACTTTTTCTTTCTCTTGTTTGTCTTACGTTCCCATTCTTATTCCTATTATTACATCTTATCCTCCGTACCTTTTGCCTTGCACTAATCTTCTTCTAAGATTTCCGTCTCCCCACCTCTCTCTTGCCTACTTTCTGCCCTTGCCTTCCTCGTCTCATCACAATCGACTTGAGAATGGTCCAGGATGGACCGAAACCATCGTCGTCTCTTCAATTTCTAGTGTGTGGTTTGGTCAACATTTTTCAGCCACGTTATTGTGACCCTTCCTCTGCTTATGGGTGACCTCTGGTGGCACCAGTTGCAAGCTTCCCAAACACCAGCACTAAAGCTTAGTGTCCCGTTTTTCACTGCTGTTCTGTTCAGGCAACCTTTTGCCTTTGCTAGTACTGTTTTTACACATTTTGTTGGCTTTTTAGATTGTTATATTGTAGTTTGTATATGTGTGTATTTGTGTGTGAGAGAGAGAGGAGGAGGGAGGGAGGAAGGGATAGAGAGGGATAGAGAGAGAGAGAGAGAGAGAGAGAGAGAGCAAGGATATAAAGGAACCCATATGCTGCCTCCAGTTACCACACGGCGAATCCTTTAGTGTAATCCCTCTGGATTACATTTCGGCCGCAATTAACCCCTATTTCCTGGGTCTTCAGCAGCCAGCAACATAATACTCCTCTTGTGCTCCTGGTCTACCTCCAGCAGACAGCGTCCCAACACACTCCAGCTCCCCTATCCAGTCTTCCCTCAGCAGACAGTGTTCCAACAGATTCCTGCTCCACCTCCCTCCGTCTTCCCACAGTTAGCTAACGTCCCAACACACTTTTGCGCTCCTAAGGAGACAACGCCCTAACACTCCCACCTCTCCCCCATCCTTCCCTTCCTCCCTCGGGTCCTCCAGAAGCAGTATACGACGCACCAATGAGAACCTGCAACACTATTTGACTTTCCATTAACATGCAAATTACTCTGCGGGAGTTGGCGAGAAGTAGCCAATTAGTTTTAAGGATTTTCCCCGGCATATTTTACGTGTGTTTGAGACGAGAGAGAGCATTCAAAATGGGATTAAAGTGAGGATTACCTGGGTTTTTAATTAATGTAATTGTTGGGATTGTTTTCTCTCGCAAAGGCGAATGGTACTTCGCTAGGATTGTGTTCGCTTAAACGACCGACTAGGCGATGACACAGCCAGGGGTCCCTGCCAGGGGTCCCAGCCGGGGGTCCCAGCCGGGGGTCCCAGCCGGGGGTCCCAGCCGGGGGTCCCAGCCGGGGGTCCCAGCCGGGAGTCCCAGCCGGGAGTCCCAGCCGGGAGTCCCAGCCGGGAGTCCCAGCCGGGAGTCCCAGCCGGGAGTCCCAGCCGGGAGTCCCAGCCAGGGGTCCCAGCCGGGAGTCCCAGCCGGTTCTCTTGCATTGCTAATCCCTCCGTAAAAAAATGCAACCGTTTAATTCGGATGAGAAACGTGCAAACATAAACAATGTCCATGCATAGAAAACGTCAATATTATGGTGCTTAAATTATTGTTCATACATGTTATTTTTCCCGGATTGGTCGAGTCCGTAAGAAATGCGACGTATTAGGTGAGAGGACGGGGTTAGGGAGGACTACAAGTAATTAAAAAATATAATTTTTGAAGAATTGCGATTTTATAGACTTGTCGAAACACGAACATATATGTTGATGGCTGGGTTTCTCTATGTGTGTGTGCCGTGTGTGTTTATATTGGTGTATGTGATAGTATGTGCTTACTATACAATTTAGGGGTAAGTGTGCAAGTGTGTTATATTCTAGATCAAATTTACAGTAACAGGAAAATGCTATAGGCACCATGAACCACCCTCATGGTTCTTTTTCTTATTAACACACTTACATCTGCGGTATATTTTTTTTAGTAACACATTTAGGTACATCTGCATTTGTACAGCTGCCCTAGACTATGTGAAGGGGAGTACAGTGTGGCAAAACGCTAGCTACGTGATGCTAAAAATCTCCATCACACAGGATGGTTAGTTTTACAGAGTTATTTGATAAGTAGTCTGCACTGGCACACTGCGTGCATTTTGAGGATATCATCAACACAAGAGTGAATATAAAGTAATTGCAAAGCTCAAGGTACCTCATGCCAACTGGTCTGAATGGTCTGATAACTGGGCATTCGGTGATGTAGTGCGGGAGATCATGCCGTAGTTCCTACTTCCAGAGTTTGCACCTGGAGTGCTCAGGATTGGGAGATCCGTCACCTGTAGCCACCTGCCACAGGTAACGGTAACTCAACCTGATCCTGGCACCCACTGTGTCGCACAGTCTAGTGGACGTTTTGTGCTGCCCATAAACATAGGTTTCAGATCTGAACAAATCGTAGCGTTCTATCTTGGTGCTTTCAGGTCGTTGGGAGTCAGTAATTTCTCTCCCATCAAACCTGAGTGCTTGGAACAATATAGTTTTGACAGCAGAGATGCGGATACCTAGATCTAATTCAACTTCATCTTTGTTGCACGCTGTTTTGGCTGCAAATATCAGTGAATAAGGAATTTTTTTTTATTAATACATTAGGTACATCTGCATTAGTGCAGCTGCCCTAGACTATATGGAGTACAGTGTGTCAAAAAAGCTAACTAGGTGATGCTATAAAATCCCCATCACACAGGATGGTTAGTCATACAGAGGCATGTGATAGGCAGTCTGCAGACTCCGGATGCATTTTAATTTTGTACTTCTATGAAAGTCTACGGTAGCATCATGTCAGTTTTCATATATCTATTTTCTTAATTGAATATTAGTTAGCCATATTACAAAATATTTAATGCATTTGTGCTTTACAATCTGATATTTTTAATAATGCATAATCTCCGTGTATAATGTAACTTTGTGTATTAAATTCTCATAAACGTCTTTTGTGATTTGCATATTTAGAGTATCAGTATAATCTATAACAATTATATACTGATGGCGTCAACCCTAATGGCAAAAATGTAAAGGAATTTCCAGGTGGAGACGAGCATATGTGGTTATTGTATATTGTGTCTCTTGTATACTGCCACCAGCTGCTGCTGGGTATACTGCCGCCACCTGCTGCTGCGGGGTATACTGCCGCCAGCTGCTGCGGGGTATACTCCCGCCAGCTGCTGCTGCGGGGTATACTGCCGTCAGCTGCTGCTGGGTATACTGCCACCAGCTGCTGCTGCGGGGTATACTGCCGCCAGCTGCTGCTGCGGGGTATACTCCCGCCAGCTGCTGCTGCTGCGGGGTATACTCCCGCCACCTGCTGCGGGGTATACTCCCGCTAGCTGCTGCGGGATATACTGCCGCCAGCTGCTGCGGGGTATACTGCCGCCAGCTGCTGCTGCGGGGTATACTGCCGCCAGCTGCTGCTGCGGGGTATACTGCCGCCAGCTGCTGCGGGGTATACTCCCGCCAGCCGCTGCTGCGGGGTATACTGCCGCCAGCTGCTGCTTCGGGGTATACTCCCGCCAGCTGCTGCTGCGGGGTATACTCCCGCCAGCTGCTGCTGCGGGGTATACTCCCGCCAGCTGCTGCTGCGGGGTATACTCCCGCCAGCTGCTGCTGCGGGGTATACTCCCGCCAGCTGCTGCTGCGGGGTATACTCCCGCCAGCTGCTGCTGCGGGGTATACTCCCGCCAGCTGCTGCTGCGGGGTATACTCCCGCCAGCTGCTGCTGCGGGGTATACTCCCGCCAGCTGCTGCGGGGTATACTCCCGCCAGCTGCTGCGGGGTATACTCCCGCCAGCTGCTGCGGGGTATACTCCCGCCAGCTGCTGCGGGGTATACTCCCGCCAGCTGCTGCGGGGTATACTGCCGCCAGCTGCTGCGGGGTATACTCCCGCCAGCTGCTGCGGGGTATACTGCCGCCAGCTGCTGCGGGGTATACTGCCGCCAGCTGCTGCGGGGTATACTCCCACCACTCCTATCTACGGGTATACGACTGCCATCACTACCGATATAACTACGATTGTTACGTACGACATAAGCTTGAGGAATTACCTCATCGCGCGGGTCAGTAAATAAAAGCCGCATCGAGGTTGTGACGGGAAACACCCATCTGGTGCACGCACGCACTCGCACACACGCAAGCACTTGCACGCACGCAAGCACTTCGCACACAGCAACTTTCTGGAGGGCCTACAGCTGGCAAGGTACTCACACGAATAAGACACTTTGTAGGTTTGTCTTGGTGTAGTGACAGCTTCTCCCCCATCATCTTGTCTATCATCCCTCCCTGCCACCCATCTATCTGCCTTACCATGATAACCCATCCATGGTATGGCGGCACCATTTTGCCAGACCTTCAGTGTGTCTAGAACTGGTGACTGCTAATACCTCTCTCCTGGTCTCTTCCCCCACTCTCTCGTGGTCTCTGCCTTCTCTCTCGTGGTCTCTCTCCCCCCTCTTGTGGTCTCTTCTCCCACTCTCTCGTGGTCTCTTCCCCCACTCACTCGTGGTCTCTGCCTTCTCTCTCGTGGTCTCTCTCCCCCCCCTCTTGTGGTCTCTTCCCCCACTCTCTCGTGGTCTCTTCCTCCCTCTTATGGTCTCTCCCCCCTCTTGGTTTCTCCCCCTAGTCCCCCCCCCCCTCCACTCCCCACCAACCCCCCTGTCAGAGTTAAGCCAGCGCCATATTCTGCACCTCTTAATTAAATGTTGTCTGAGAAGGCATTATCATTTACTAATTACTACATAAATTGTTAAGGTGAAATAGGCGGGGGGGGGGGGAGTTGATGTTGAAGTGGGGAGACCTTCTCTTAGTTGTTTTGGGATTACTTAGAGCTTGATATTCTCTTTCTTGTTAATTAACTGTCGCAGAGGGGAAGGTGGTGGGCTTTGGAGGTGGACGGGTGTGTGTGTGGGTGTGTGTGGGTGGGTGTGGGTGTGTGTGGGTGTGGGTGTGGGTGGGTGGGTGGGTGGGTGGGTGTGTGTGTGTGGGTGTAGTGTGCGCGCGCGTCTGTGTGCAGTTGCATGTGTGCTGCTTGCGCGCACTCAGACGCGCCTTGTATACAGAACACCATCAACATAGTGTTCATCGTGGACTACCACCACTCCCACTACCACCACCACCACCACTACCACTACCACCATGGTCCACCCACACTCGGCCTGATTCTGGGGGCCACACTGGCGGGCCACACTGTAAGCCTGGGTGTAGGGCCACCCTGGCGGGCCACACTGGCGGGCCACACTGTAAGCCTGGGTGTAGGGCCACCCTGGCGGGCCACACTGGCGGGTCACACTGTAAGCCTGGGTGTAGGGCCACACTGGCGGGTCACACTGTAAGCCTGGGTGTAGGGCCACCCTGGCGGGCCACACTGGCGGGTCACACTGTAAGCCTGGGTGTAGGGCCACCCTGGGCTGCTGCTCCTGCATATATTACGTCAAA